TTTAATAAAAACATGTTGAAATAGAAAAAAAAAAAAAAGGGTCAAAATAAGATATGTAATAATAGGTTGAGATAGATGAAATGTCTAAGAAAAAGGGATAAAGATGGGAGTATGATAAAAGCAAGAATAATATTTAGGATAAAGAATTAAATGGAATAATATAAAATGTGAGGGGGAAGTTAAGAGATAGGGTTTCAAAAAAAATTAATGAGAGACGGACTCTAATTAAGCAAAAAATTAAGTACTAAAAAAATAATCCTAATAAGTTATGTGTTTTATGTTTTGACTTGCAAACATTTCTAATATTATATATATATATATATGGATATGACAGAGGGAGGAACACAAATTAAATTAAAAAAAGACATATAATCGTAGAAAGATATACATGTAAAAAATTATTAAGAAAGAACAATACAGAGAGGGGGATAAGGAATAAAAAATTAAAAAATAATTTTCTCATATAGAGAGGGATTTACAAAATATATACGTATACAAAACAAAGATAGTATAAGAGAGCAAAGGTGAAATGGATACGAAAAGATAATGAAAGTGTAAAAAAATGTGAAAAAGATATTCATTTAATTAAGAAAGAGAAATGAGAAGAGATACATACACTATGTTAAGTTTAAAATAAAATGTATAATAATAATAATAATATAAGTGTATGATGATGAGACAAACTAGAGAATTGAAGGTGCTTTATAAAAAAAAATGGACAGAGGTACGGTTTTAGTGTAAGAAATTGAAAAAAAGAAAAAAAGGGAATAAATAGGGAGATGAGGTAATTAAGGATCAGAGATGATAATAGAGAGAATGAATAATATCAAATAATTTATTAATATATAAAAAGAAAAAATAGATTTCTAACTTTCCCAAAACCCTCCAACCCAATTCAATGTTGAAATGTGAGATTTCTAATTTTAAATTTCAAACTTCTAACAAATTGAGATACATTCTTAAGGCAGTTTTCATAATTTATTAAAGTGATGCTTTAAGGACGATAGTCCCTATAGTTTTTGTATTTTTTAACTTTTTAAACTTTATTTTTAACTTTTAAGTCTTTTAATTTTTAATATTTAAATTATTAAATTCTAAATCTCAAAATATTAAATCTTAAAACCCTAAATATTGAATCTTAGAAGAATCTAAAACCTTACATCTTAAATACTAAACGTTACAAACCTTGAAGCCTTAACACTTCAAGCACAGAAATTCTAAAAGATCTAAATCTTAATTTTCCTAAAAATTAAATTATAAAAAATTTAAACCCAAAATATTCTAAACACTTTTAAATTTAAATCCTAACATGCAAGCATTAAACTCTAAACTTTAAAAAAAACTTAGATGCAAAAATTATAATAATAAGAGATTAAAGGACTAAAATAATTTTAATCTACTTAATGTAGATACCAACTAATAATTTAGTCATAAAATAAAGGGAGAAAATGGATGGACGGATGTTCGTCAAGTATTTTGGTCTTGATCAATTGGCTTAAGGGGGTTTCCACGCCCTAACCATTATTAAATTTATTAATATAGTGTTAAATTATGAAAAACTGTTTTTATTTTTAAAATTAA